CATGACACTTAGTAAACAAAGTAAAAGAATTAGGTTTCAAAGACAGGGACCCACTTCTGATCATTGGTAAGTCTCTAAGAAGCCTGAGTAGGTGTCAACAGCTTGATTTTAGAATGATCTCCCCACCCTCTTCTTTTAAATTGGACAAAATAAGAACCTTAGTACTCTAAATCCTTTGGGGGTCATACAGGCATCTGAACAAACATTTTCATATTTTAAAAATTATCCTGAAGTTGTAGAGTTTTCTTTCAGAAAGACTTGGTAAGGCAGCCCTTCCCTGTTATATACAGTTAATTTCCCAGACTTAGAATGTTAGTATTTGTTGGGCAGTGGCGCCTGTGGTTTCCATTATGAAATAGAAATTCAACATAAAGATCCTGGACAAACAAACACCCATCATTAATTACTAAGAGATCCATGAAACAAAATACCTCTATTCTGTAAGCCTCTTGCCCAAGGGCAGGTAGTTCCTGAAATGCTGGGGGCTATTGTTTATGGGAGATAACAAGTTATGATTTTTCACTCCCCTAAACAAGTTTGTTTGACCCAACTATACAGGATATGCTTGATCACATGTAGGCAGGAAGTTTATAGGTAGGAAATATTTCAGGATGTATGCTTTCTCCTGATTAGGTATAGGCAGGAAATATGTCTGCTTGCCTCTGATTGGACCTGATGGGATAAACCCCCCTATAAAGCACGACTCAGGCCATTTTCTGGAAACCTGGGTATGGACCTGGCCAGAGTCCATCAAACCTGGACAGTATTTAATTAAAGCTAGCTTCAAATTTGACTTTAAACTGTGGTCGTGGTCTCATTCTTGACTGGTAGGATTAACATTTTCTGGAGGCGTCTAGTGAGATTCAGACCATCCACCCAAATTCTAAAGCTGGAAATTCACTCTAGAACTCCAGGGCTGAGGGACTCCTTTGGGAGGCATGTGCCTTGAGACGAGCCAAGGCTCCAAGGCTGCTTTCAGTTCTCAGACTATTATAGTGAAATGCCATGCTGAGAAATGCAGCAGGCAACTAACTACAGAGGCCTCCTGATGAGTCATAGTCTGATTCTGTTTTGTGGGATCCCTATCTGGGATATGGAAGGAGTTCAATTGGATCCCAATATTCTCTCCCATCCATGTCATATAGGGAGACTTCACCTGACCACCTGGTTCTGGTTCTGGTTGGAAAGTTTGGTCTATCTGTGTTTTCCAGTGTGCCAGTAAGTGTTGTTTAAACATGGAGACCAGTTGTTGCCTGCTTGGTAGTTCTACTTAATGAAGATGGTGGTGAAGTCACATAACATCTATCTTCTCTAACTCTAGCAAAGATGGCTGTCAGTCATGTGGCTGCATAAAGATAGTGGCAATCCACATGTTGCTTATATTCCAAAATGGAACCATGCCACATAGTTCCTTTAAGATTGTCTATGCATAGATCTTAACCATCAGCTCCCAGTGTTACTAGTTTTAAGTTAACTTTCTTTTATAGATTTTTAACCATACCCAGCAAAATAAACTTACAAATCTTGAGGTATACAATCTTCACAGTTGGGAGCTGCCACTGCTACCCTAGAGGTGCCTCTGAGCACCAAACCTGTAGGCCTTGGGGAAGGTGAAGAGAGAAGACAAAGAGAGAAATTAAGGGGATAGCGATGAGCTACCAAGGTGTTTGCCACTCAGAAGTCTAGGGAAGTGATGGAGCTAGGAGAAGCCACCAACAGCAGGGTTGTATCCTGGACCTAGGCTGCCACATGGCTGGAACTATATTGTGGGTGCCATCATATTGCTACATGGCTGCCATTTACTGCTACCGCTATATTGGCCCTGCTAATTCTGGGGTGGAGGGGCGTTGGGGCAGAAGTGGCGTTGGGGATGGTGTCTGTGGTTTCCTGGAGATCATGCTTTGGAAGTTGCCAGCTCTCCTTATGGTTCAGTGCTCAGTTCCACAGTGCTGGCCCAGTTCTCCACCATATGGAAACAGACAGAAATCTTTGTGCTTTACCCATAAAAGCTGTCTGTGAGATAATTGCTGAACTTGGTTCATTTTTATTGAAGATTTAGAATAAATTCCAATGAGTCCCTGAGGCTAAAGAATTTATTTCTTCAACAAAGCAACCTCAAGCTGAACACTGCACAGCCTCATCCTCCTGGTGGCTTCACCTTTATTCTGGCCTCACCCATGCAAGACTAACCCCAGTGTCTGTCTGGCTCACTTCAGTAGTTCAGCCACCTTGCCCAGAACATCATTCCCTCTAGGTCTTCCAGACTTCTCCAATCAGTGACTGAAAGGTGAAAACACTTTGCTCCTTAAAATGAGCTTTGGTCGAAGGGGCTTCTACATGATTTTCCATTTGTAGTGTTCAGATTTGAATGCATAGCCAGTGTCTTTGGAGGCATTGTGAACTCGGTGCTCTCAATTTTCAGGGACATCTAGCCATCAGTCAGCTAGGCTGTATCACGTACTCATAGAGAAGACATGACACTAAGACCACCCTGCCACCCCTTCTGACATAAGCAAATTCCAAGTAACAAGCCTGCAGTTTACCTGTCAGTTAAATATTAGCTTAATTGGAAAACTACAAGGTCCTCAGGAGATAGGCCTGAGAAGTAGTAAATTGTAATAGATAGGATTGGACCCTGCTGTCAGGTTACCAAGCAACATAGGAGTTCCTACCCCTGACCTCTTGCCCTGTAGATTAGGTTGCCAGGCAACTCAGCAGACCACCTCTCCCACTGACCTCTTGCCCCTGCAGCTGCAAGTACACCTTCCCCCCTTCCCCTCCTCACTTCTATATAAATCCCTTTGGGATGAAATAAAGTTGTCGCCTTTATCAGAATCCTGTCTTGGCATCCATTCCTGTATGCCCTGTCCTCCATCTTTCTCCTAGGTGTTCACCAGACCCACGTTGAATGCCCTGTGGGTTGGGACACTCAATGGCAAGGGTACAGTTTTCATGAACTCCAAACTCCCAGGGAGTCTATCAAGTATGCAGATTCTGGAATCGCATCGTCCAGCTCTAACTGAGTCTAACATAGTCTTCATATCACAAAGTAAGTAATTTCACTCAAGGCCTAGGGCCATGAACCCATCAGGATGCCCTCTCACTTACTCCCTGCCCCCATGAGAGTGGGAAATTATCTTAAAACCAGTCCTTTGATCAATTTTTTTAAAAGAGTGAACGTCTTAATGACCTCACACTGTAGTTGTGTACTTTTACGGAAATTCAATTTCACTTTGGAAGACTGGGAAGAAGGCTCAGTGGGTAAAAAGTATTTTTTTGTATCAGAATAAGGTTCTGAGTCCAAATCCCGAAACCCATGTGGAAGGCACCCCAGGGCTGGGCTGGCCAGATGAGGTTTCTGAGGTTGCCTAGGGGTCTTGTTTGGGTTCTTTTCTTTGCCTGGTAAGGAACTGAAAGGCAGGAAACATCTCGAGCTCTACCTGTAGCAGTAGGAAAACTGTTGAACCTGGGGAATGGGGCAGATGGAATCAGCCAGTGAAGAAAAGCTTTTTTAGGGGTGAGGAAACATGCACAAACACAGACAAAAAGGCCCTCCAAGAAGTAGAGGGGGCTTGAAACCTGAAGCCTGTCTGTCTTTGAGGGCTGGATTCTTCCTGAGGCTACAATTTATACTGATGAAGAATTAATTTTCTGCTTCCTTATATTGACACATTGGCACATTATTATACAATGTGCACCTTTAGGAACATTTTTTCATGTGTTCTATTCATTTCCATCTCTTCTCTGGTACAAGACACAGAGTAAGAACAGATGTGCATTTGTGCATTTTTCTGTGTGTGTTAGTGTGTGTGTCTCTGTGTGTATCCGAGTGCATGTGTTTATCTGTGTGCATATGCAGTAGATGATTCTCATATTGGTATGCTTGGTGGATATACAATATTAACATCACCATGAACATATTGATGTACCGTGTTAATAAGCTTATGAGGTCAAATATTGAAATAATTTGGATTCCTAATTATCTGCAGGTCCATAGGACCCAGCTGCCTGAGACAGGCCCTTTGGGGAGGGGACACTGATGTCTACACACTTTCAGCCACCTGGGTTCACTCAGTTTCCAGCTATGATTCCTACATATCCCCTGAAGTGACCTCTCCCTCTCCATTTTGTAATACCTTGTTCAGTTCAACAAAACGCCACGGTTGATTAGGATAATGACCCACCCTTCTGTGAGCTGAATTCCTCTTCAGTTCTCTGTTTCCAGGTGGATATCCCCATAGCATGGACCTCACTGAGGTTCCCTCCACCTTAAAGCTATTTCATGTGCCTGAATCCTGAGTGCCATTAAGACTTACTTCCTAACTACGGAATGCCCATAAAACTATTTCCAGACTGCTTGCTTCCTATTGGAGATAAGGTAGAGTCTCTTATGTAATGGGAGAGGGGTGACAATAGGGGAGGGAAGCAGAGAAAGGATGTCTCTGGCAAGGCTTCCATCCACTGCCCACTCCGGTTTCTGAAGAAGCAATTAGCATGCAGGTCAGCTGCACAGGTCCTGCATGCATTAGCAACTGAGCACCGGTTTCCCAAGCCCTTCTTGGATTCTCTGCAAACCCGCATGCCCTCTGTCTGCTGTGACCTGACCCTGCTCAGGGTCCATTAACTGGAGATTTAGGCCATGGACAAAAATGGTCGTTCACAGTCATGATTAATGAGCCGGTGGCTTCAGAATCACAAGGCGCCATACTGACTAACCACTGTTAGTGTTTTCTCACTATTATACCGAGGAACCATTTCATCTCACTGAAGCAACTGTTCACACTGGCTGGGCTGAGGAGGAAATGTAAAGAGAAGCTTTTCCTTGCTAGCCGCTTTGGTTTATCACCCGCCAGTTGCCTGGGCTCTGCCGCATTGTAGTCCCCAAATAAACACACAGGAGGCTGTATTACTTATGAAGCTGTTGGCCTTGCTTGTTTCTTACTGGCTAGCTCTGACTTAAGTAATTACCCCATAATTGTTAATCTAAGTATGTCTCTTACCAGAGAAGTTTCCGGGCTTCCTACCCCATGGTGTTACATCTCGACTCTCTGTGTTTCTCCTACCCAGAGTCCTTCTGGACTCCTAGTCCCTCCTATCTTGGTTCCCTATTGGCTCAACAGTGCTTTATTGACATAATCACAGGACTTCCCCAACAAGGAAGGTAAGTTCTGACCATGATGAATAAAAAGTATTTCATGTATCTTTGAGACTATAACCATAATACTCAGCATTGTCAACAGCCTGTATTGAATCTTCTGGTGCAGTGTGTTACCGTCAAAGTAATCTGGGAAGAGAGCCTGAACGCTGTCTTCTTTGTATATAAGGAAATGGCACCCTCATTTGCCTACTGACAGATTAGGGTAAAGCTGGCAGTCACCTGTTGGAGCTGCTCTGCAGCCCTCGCCTGAGCTGGAGGGAGGAGGACACTGTGTCAGGGCAGTTCCTTGTCGTTATAAGGAGTGGTCTGCATGCCCCCTGGAGAGCAGATTGTTGGCTTATGCTAAAAACAACCAGAGGGACCACTGTACCTGATGCTACCCAGGAGAGAAGAAAGACAGAAGTGAGTACTATGGTCCCAGGGGTTTGCTAAAATCTAGAGGAATCTGAAACTTTTCATGGGTCTGAAAGATGGAGGGAGAAAGGCAGCCTGGTTGTGACAGGAGGTGACCAGAAAGTGGAGGTTCTCCAGCTTGTAGGACACAGTGAAAGGAAGAGTGTTCGAGGCAGGGTCTGAGGAGAATGGGACTATGGCAGCAGCAGGGGACCTCAACGCCATCAGGGCTGGGGACCACACAAAGCAGGTCCCAGGCCTGAGGGAGCCATTCACACTGTGGGATCCCGGAAATTCAACCTCTTCAAACGCTAGTGTGGTCACACATGGTGAAGATGGACATCGAAACCTAAAAAAGATCACGGAGAGAATTAAACAGGACATTTATAAAATAGCCCAATGAGCTCAAAGCAGGAAGTCAGCCTTGTTCAAGTACCTTTTAGTGACAGTAAGGATGACCACGATAAAATACCAAGATGAGCAGCAGTGGCCAGTTTGGAAAGGAAACTGACACACATTTCCCCTCAGTGAGGTTTGTCGTAAAGAAAGGGCCTCAAGCAGGGCGGTAGATTGCATGCCTTTAATCCCTGTACTCGGGTCTCTGTGAGTTTGAGGCCAGCCTGGGAGTTCCAGGACAGCTAAGGCTACACAGAGAAATTTTGTCTCAAAAAACAAAAACCAAAAAAAGGGGCGGGGGGGGTTCAAAGTCATAATTGGACCCCGAGGCAGAAAAGAGCAATGGATAGAAAGTAAGAAAGTATATGGAGAATCTGAACACCTTGGAGTGTTAAAGGGAAGGAGACAGTCATTAAGAATGATGGAAGACAGGCATTAGGCATGGGAGCAAACTCCTTTAATCCTAGAGATCCATGAGCTCAGTATGAGGCCAGCATGGTCCATATAGCAAATCCCTGGATATCCAGGACTACAGAGTGAGGTCCTGTCTCAACATACACACACACACACACACACACACACACACACACACACACACACACACGAGGGAGAAAGAGAGAGAGAGAGCCATACCATGTCACCATGAGACAGATGAAGAGATGGAGAGACCACAAGAACCTTTCCAGAAAGCATCCTCCAGCTATCCCCCTGAGGAGTCTGTGACCAATCTCTAGAACAAAAGAAAGATCTGAGTTTTCATATTACATGATTTAAGTTAACATCTACATGACAAAGAGCATGGAGGAGCCAGGTATCATAAATTGAGAACTGTCAAGTCATAGTACAGACTGTTTCTTAACTCTTGTTCCCAGACAGAGCATTAGGTAGGCATACCCTGATCCAGGTTGTGTGATCAGGCCAAAAGGTCTAGGACCATGTTCTAACATCCAGGAGACTGTTTCCAAGTTCAAGTCTGGATCCCAATTGCAAGATAGATTCCATGCTATAAGGCAGGGTACGGTGAACTCTAGGCAGAAAGTCTTCCATACCCAAGAGACAGGAGTTAGGGAAGTCATGTGTTCATTCCCAGAGGTACCCTAAGGTCCTAATTTATGTCCTCATCTCCACAGGTAGATGAAGTGGCCTCTGTGTAGGTCCCCTCACTGCTGAAGCTCTCTTGTCTGTGCTATTATAACAAGATTGTGTGGACCCTGAACTGGAGTCTGTTGTCCAATCTACACAATCCCTAGTTTTTCAGAAGGACAGGCCCGAATTTCCCGGAACCTCACTTGTTATGTAGTTCAGGAACATGGAAATAAAGAAGTAGCCATTGTTCTCAGGAGACCCTGACTTCAACAAAGGGCCTGTGCTGGGCTCTCTGAGCCTGCTGCTTTCTGTGGCTGGATATTGTTCCCCCAAAGCTTCCTTTTTCTTCCCACTGTATTGCTTCAAGCTGAAATTTACAGAGGATCTTACTTGCTGTCCTAGCTGCAGTCTCCCTGTCTTCACTCTTACAGTTCCGTCTATCTTCTTGGCAGCTCTGGTCCCTGTGCAAGGCTCTTTAATACCTGCACATCCCTGTAGCCCTGCTTTTCTAATTACGTGTAGAACAGTACTGCCTGTTGCCTAATGTTCAGCTTGGTTTTCTACAGGAAGGGTTGGATGTGGTTTACCTAAATGATGATAGCAAATATCTTAGTCTTTGAGAGCATTCTGTCTCTGCTCTAATTATTTAACTGCTCACTTGTGCCCTCCGGAGGAAAGGCAGCATAGACAATGCCTAATGAATGAAGGCAGCCAGGCCCCACTATAATTTTATTTCTGAGCATTTGTGTTTCATGCAGTATTTATGTGCTATGAAGGACTATCTCCCTCCTCTCCTCCCACCAACATTCTCTCCTCAGGCCATGAATAAGCAACCGGTCAGCAGGTCTAAATGGTAATTTGGAAATATCTGCGTAGAGCAGGACTAAGAGAATCTGCCAGGTCTGAATATGACTGTGTGACATTTACTAGGTGGTGTTGGGCACCTTGTCTAATGTCTCTGACCCTCACTTCTAAAATGGGGACATTTACGCAATGTTTTAGAGTTAAGTGAGAGCATAGGCAGAGTCTTTTGTTGACTGCTGGGTATACCTCTCATGGTTGCCGTTCCTTCCGTCCTCAGACCACTCTCGGGTACTTACAGCTCTCTCCCTTGCTCTCTCACTCAATTAAAAAGTACTTGAGCGTTTCTGTAGCTATTGGGGCTTGAACTGGCCTTGGTCAGGGGAGAACCAACAACACACAGGTTGAAAACAGTGGGCAAACTCCAAAGGTTTTGAGGATTGTCTATTGTTCTTTCCCATGGAGACATAAAGAACACCTTCTTCCTCCTCATAAGGTCCTAACGACAAACCAAAGCTCAATTTCAGCAGAGTTCATCTGGAGAAGCAATGAGCTCATTGGTTAGGGGCAATGAGCAGGCGCATGAGTGGTCCAACAGCAGAGGCTCTGGGAGACCTGCACACTGCATGAGTGATGTCTTTCCTGTGGCCAACTGAACGACGCCTTCTCCTGTGGCCGTCTACAGTCAGGACGGAAAAGCAGTAGAATGGAGATTTTGTTGTGCTTGATTGGAAGTGGTAGATTCTAGGTGATAGATGCTTTTTTGGTAAACTAATTTTAAATACATATGCTTGATGTATTAAACTCTTTGCTATGGAAGTATATTTAAAAACACAAATACGTTCAATGTTCTGTAAGTAAATATGACATATATAAACCCATGTAACAAACAACACATAAAACATCCTGAATTCTTAAAAGGAGTTTGTCTGTGACTCATTTGTTACCCCCCATGTCCAGTGACACCTCCCATGAGAGGGTTCTCCCCATCTCCATGTCCTCAGCAGTGCCCTATCTCCATTCTTCAGTTACAGTGTCACCTTACTCTACTGTTTTTGATCATAACACACACTGTTAACAGGATTTGTTTATTTAGCTGCCACTGTCCACAGTCCTCCTACTAGAGTGTAAGGACAAATACTACATGTGACTCTATGGCATTTTTGTTTTGATATATTCTTTTGAGATAGGAGCTTGTTATATAGCCCAGGCTGGACTGGGACTCTTTGTTTTCCTCTCTTAGTCTCCTGAGTGCTGGATTACAAGACTATGACACCATATCTCACCAGAACAGTATTCTCTGTGTGTGTATTTGCACGTGCATGTGTGCATGTGCACAAACACATGTGCTTTTCATTGTTTGAGAATTTAATGTGTTTTGGTCAAATCTTGGTTTATTTTTCTACATAAATATATTACCCATTTTAAATACCAGTATCATTTTGCACATTGCTGCGGTTATTTTTTTTAAACTCAAAAACATGCTTTTGTTGATTGTATCTCTTAATCTATAGAGGCTATATCAGTCACAATTAGATCTAGATGGCAGTAAGAATCTTCAGATTAAGATCAAAATCCATTTTCCCTTCCACTAAATTAGGATAGAGGGAGTCAGTCTGGCTCTGGTAGCTCTCTTTACCTTACCATCCAGGTTGGCTGGTGAGCCAAGAATGCTGAACTTACAGTGGAGGATATTCAAGGCCAGAACTTGGTCACATGACATGTAGCCAAGACTCTACAGTGAGATCCAACCTATTTCTTGCTAAAATCTTGGAGTTCTACTAAGAAAGGAAGGATATTCACTGTAGGGGAAGGATAGCAATGAGATTGAGTTCTTGTCTTGGTTTCTCATGAAATTCATTGAATTCCTGCCTTGGTTTCTCTGATAATAGATTGTAACCTGGCATATAAACGTTTCCTCCCCAAGTTGCTTTTGGTCATGGTGTTTCACCCCAGCAATAGAAACCCAAGACAAAAACTCAAAAAAAGTCTAAGGGGAAAAGGGTTTAAGATAAACTGTAGATAACTTCCCTAGCTTGCATGCAGATCTGGATTTTACCCCTAAGTCTCTAGATTCATGATGAATGAGATCAGTAGTTCTCAAGGAGGGCCTGGTCTGAGAGTGTTAGGAGCAAGTTCCAGAGATCCAGGGGCTTTTTTGTTGCTAAACCTCTTCCTCTACATTCATGCCTCTCTCTTTCCTTTGGAGACA